CCCCGCGGAGCTGCGGGCGGAGGGACGGGGACGGGGGTTCGCTGCGCCCGGGAGCTTGAAACGAGTTGGGGAGGTGCCCCGCCGGGGGGGCACCGGGCTCCCCGCTCTGATGCTGCTTTGGGGGGAGAGGCGCGGGGGGGGCGGCTCCCAAAACCGGGGTGAAACGGGAGCTGGATGCGCTGCGGGGGCCGTCGAGCGGCCGGGGCTCGTGCGTGCAGCCGGCTCCGTGTCTGGGGGAGCTGAGCAATGCTGCGAGCTGTGCTGTGAGCTACGCTGCAAGCTGTGCTGCGAACAATGCTGCGAGCTACACTGCGAGCTGTGCTGCGAGCAATGCTGCAAGCTACGCTGCGAACTGTGCTGCGAGCAATGCTGCGAGCAATGCTGCAAGCTGCTCTGCAAGCTGTGCTGTAAACAATGCTGCGAGCTGTGCTGCAAGCAATGCTGCAAGCAGTGCTGCAGGCTGCTCTGTAAGCAATGCTGCGAGCAATGCTGCGAGCTCCCCGCACTGCTCCCACCCCAGGACAGGGTGCTTGCCCCCGCTGCCAGCCCAGCCTGGCTGGAGCAGGGAGAGGAGAAGGGCTGGTGCCACCCGAGGGGAGGGCAGGACGCTTACCTGGGCCACGGCCACCTGCGTCTGCTGCTGCTGCTGGAGGAGCTGCTGCTGGAGCAGCTGGAGGCAGTGCTGGGAGGCCAGCGGGGTGATGGAGGCCGAGGAGCAGGGGCTGCTGGGGCTGAGCAGCTGCTGGGAGCCACCCAGGTGGAGGGAGCAGTTCTCGGCATCCTGGGCACAAAGAAACGGGCAGGGTGAGCCGACTGACCGGCTCAGGCTGGGTTTGGGATCATGCTGCCCCACGGCACTGACCCCAGTGCAGCGCTGCAGCCCCCGCACCCCGGGCACCAAGGGGCTGTTGAGGGGGCAGCCCTGGGCTCGGTGTCAGGCGCTGCATGACTACACTGTCCGCAGGACAGCACGTTTCAGCGTGACTCCCGCTCCCAGAGAGCTGGCAGGGCTGGACCATCTGCATCTGGCCGCAGCTCCAAACAGGGAGGGCAGATCCCGGAGCAGGAGGCATCAGGGAGTGACCCGAGTACCTCACCACCGTCCCATGATGTGGCTGCCCAGGCTGGGTGGTTACTTGCTGCCTGAAACATTTGCCAGTGGCAGCAGCAGTGCACCATCAGGGCCATCAGCGTATTAAAAGACTGCAGGCGGGCAGCGCGGATGCTGAAGCAGAGCGGTCCCAGCCCTTGGAGATACCCAGCATGAGCAGGGCAGTGGAAACACTGAGCAATTGCAGAGCAGCCCCTGGCCCAGCCCCAAGCCCCCCAGGCTCCGGCACGGCGCTCAGAGCCCAGGGTCCGCTGGTTCAGCCCAAGGTGGGTGAGCCTGCAGCCACCTCACGTGCCCTGGGACCACGCAGTGGCCCCGTGCGTGGCTCACCTGGCCCTCCGTAGCACCGGGGGGCTCGGCACGCAGCCCAGAGCCGGGCAGCGCATCCCCCCGGCGGGCAGCCTCCCACCCTGGCAGCGGGGGTGTTTTAGGACGGTTCCCCTCGCAGCGTGCCCTGCTGGGAGCCGGCCCGTGGCCGCTGCCTTTCCTGCCCCCTGCCCTCCCCTGTTGGGGCAGCTCCAGCACCTAGAAGGAAAGCGTAGGAAAGCCCCGCCATTCCAGCTGCGGAAATGAATCCCACTGAGTGCATTTCACTGCAGCTGTTTTCAGCCAGGCCCTGCAAGCGATACAGTTGTGTGAGATGAAGCAATGCCATTCAGGCTGCCGGGAAGCGCTCATGGAGAAGCTCTGCAGAGCAGCTATTCATTATGGTGAAACCACTGCTCGTGCCGAACGCTCCCTGCGTGCCTGCGCTGCCAGGGCTGGGCCCCCTCGGGGACGCTGCTCCCTGGGCCTGTGGGGCGAGGGGAGCCGGGGGTTGCTGTGGGGCAGTCGGATGAGTGACAGCCACAGAGCAGCACTGGGGACGCAGACATCCACCCGCATGGCAGGGAAACGGTTGCCTCGCCAGAGATGCCTCCGCTTAGTTTCTGCCTGTTACGTGGGTGCTGCTGCGGGAGCGGGGTCCTGCCTCGCTGCTTCTTTCTTGCGGTTGCTCCAGCAGAGCCCCTCTGTGCTCTGCCCTGCCGGCACCGGCACCGGTGGGCTCTCCCGGGTTGCATTTGAAGCCCGCTCAGCCGTGCGCCGTGGCCCCGCTCCCAGCTCTCGCCTCTCCCCCTGCCCCAGCGCTGGGACACAGCTTAGCCGCGGGTAAACTGGGTGCTGAACACCCTGTCCTGCCATGGGGGCTGCGAGAGCAGGGAGCCAGAGGGGGGTCTGCAATGGGGTCTCCGTGAAAGCCCCTCCTCATGAAGCTGTGATACAGTGACCCCAAGCAGAGGGACCCCAGCAGTGGCAGAGCGGGTGGACCGTCCCCCAGCCCACCCCTCATTACCTGGCAGTTCTTATCCTTTGAGGCTTGCCCAGGTTTCAGCATGCTGAGGTCCCCCCTGGCAGCAGGCAGCTCTCCGGGTCCCCTCTCGGCCACACAGAAGCCATCAGAGTCGATGCCAACCTCGTCTGCATCCGTGATCTTGGAGCCCTTTATCTGGTGAACTTCAAACGAGATGGATAAATAAACCCAAGCCCCTGCCGCTGCAGGATCGCGGCAAGGAGCTGGGGCCCCGAGCAGGGCTGGCAGCCAGGGTGGCAGCTCAGGGACAACGGCCAGGACTTGCTTCAAGTCTCGGCGTGCTGCGGAGGGGCAGGAGGAAGGGAGCGGGCCAGCCGAGGGGCTGGTGCCTGCAGACCCTCAGCCTGCTGGACATGGGGGCTTAGCTGCCGTCTTTCTGGTGCCCAGGACATGCAGGCAAACAGGGTGGATTCCCCGTGCCCCCCATCCGAAGGGGCCTGAAGCTCTCGCTGTCACTAGAGCTGGCCCACAAAGGACATACCACCTTGCAGTTTCCCACCCCAAAGCATCCCTGCTGCCGCTGCTGAGGGAGGGGTCTGCCCGCGCCCCGCGGTGAGCTGCGCGTCACCTTCCAGCGGCTGCTCCTCGGCCGACTTGTCGCTGGCGCCGTCCGCCTGCCCGTCGGCGTTCTGCAGGGCGTGCTGCAGGCTCAGCTTGTGGCACACCTCGAAGGCCTGCCCCACCGTGCGCACCACCCGCATCGCCTGGCTCTGCGGAGCAAACCCGCGCCGCTCAGCCCCGCGGCGGCCACGCTGCCGCCGCTGCCACCCCACTACCGATGGGAAAACTGGGAGCCTTCCCCCCGCTTCCCACCCTGGGGCTGCCCCACACTGCCATCCCTTCCCATGGCGGGGTGTCCACCGCTGCCCACCACTGAACCCGACACAGGGCATCCCCCCCCGGTCGCCTGCTCGTGGAGATGGGTGCTCTCCTCTCCATGTGGGCTGCGGCAGGCGGGCTGCGCTGCTGCCCGGGCTGGGCAGGAGGGACAGGCACCAGGCACGTTTTTTCGGGGACATCCAGCACTGGCGCTGCCTCGGTCTCTCCCCGATCTCTCGGATCTGCACCCTGCGACCCAGCGGTCGCTTTGGCTCCTGCACGGGAAGGCGTGAGGTCCTCAAAGACCTCTCACCCAGGGAGAACCCAGCCGTAGCCCTGGCAGCATCCTACCTTCTTCTTGGATTTGAAGACGTTGCACCTGAAGGAGTTGTTAGCGCCGTCCCTTGCGATGTAACTAAATATTTTCAGGTCTTGTGAGTCGTGAGACACATAGAAGATTCTAGGTGGGAGAGAGACAAAGGGAATTAAGCACCCAGGGGAGCCTCTGGCCCCAGACAACCTTGGTGGCTCCTGTATGTCCCCAGGACGGCCGGCTCACAGCACCTGGGGCCGGAGGAACGAGGCAGTGCCAGTGCACAGTCCCTCCTGCAAGTTTCAAGGCAGGATGCAACGGATTTAGAGAGTGTTTCTGGCTTGATGGAAAACCTTCTGGTATCTGAAGCAGGCAAAAGCTTTTTAAAGATGTTGTGGGAAAGCTAAAAAATCTATAGTATTGGAAAGCGTGTGGCTATTTTTAGCCCCAGCAATTAATCCCTGCCCGAGCTGCAGCATGGCACAACTGCCTGTCCAGCGACCGTCCTGCCTGCCTCGGCGCAGCCAGCCCGGCACCCGGCACGGGTCCGTTCTCAGCAGCAGGCAGGTGGCACAGCACAAAAGCCAGCGTCCCCTGGATGCCTCTCCCAGGGAAGCTGGGTGTACTCGGAGGGTTTCTCTCTCTCCCGTTCAAGTTGACTTTTTCTCCTCCCCGTGCTGCAAACCCGTTTTTAAAGACCTTTTTATGTATTTGATTTAATCAGGGAAAAATGTGACAAGTGAGTTCAGCTCCAAATAGAGAAGAAACCAAAGGGATTCTTGAGATGTTTTTTCTTTTACTCTTTTCTGTCATTGGATTTTTTTGTGTTGAGCTTGCCATTGGAGCAATTATTGCCCATGTACCACATCTTGTAATAATCTGTAAAAAATGCCAGAAGGGAGAGGTAGGCTCGGATAATGCACCAGCACGTCCTCCGCTCCTTATCTCCTCGCCAAGGGCTCTGACCCAGAAAGCCAGTGTTGGCCATCCCAGCCCCTGGGGCTGTGGGCTCTGCGCTCCTGGTACAATTAGTCACTTAGCAGATCCAACAGCCTGGTCCAACCTGTGCTCTTACCTGTGTCCTTAGGCTACGCACCATCGCTGGGGCTGCCTGCAAGGAAGCCATCCGTGATGGCCCCTGAGGCATCTGGGTGGGGCTTGTGGTCTCCAAAATACTTTGAGATCCCCTGGCAGGTCCTATGGCAAGTCAGTGCTATCTTACCACGTCCTGTACGGGTTAATGCCCTGTAAGCACTTATGCCTTAGAGTAAGGCTCTTCTTCAGAAGCACACAGCATCCAACGAGCATGCTCTGAAGGAAAACCGCGGGAAGCCTGTCTTCAGAGTCAGAGTCAGAGAGTAATTTGGGTTGAAGGCATCTCGGGGTCATCTAGTCTAACCCCTGTTCAAAGCAGAGCCAGCTTCAAAGCTAAAAGCTAGACCAGTTTGTCTCACTCTCAAAAATGTATGAAAAGGATTCCCCATTAGCAGTAATTTTGCAACCTCATTAATTTTTCATGGTCCTTTGGAAAGCCAGTCCTGGTGGAGGTAACTCAGCAAGCGGAGGATGGACATGCATCGCTCAGGGCTGACTGGACCGAGCTGGTGGAAATCCCCTGCCGCATACCTGTACACCGGATCGTGCATCACCACCATCTTACTCTCATCCCAGGTCCACTCCTTTCTCTATAAGCAGAAGGCAGAAACAAAATCACAGTGAGTCAACTCAAAATGAAACTCCACCAGGCTGATGGGCAGGAACCGTGGAAAATGGTGCCTTTGTCCCAAGCCAAATCCAGGCTACGGTTTGACTGTATGAACAATGGCTGTTTCATTGGTATCTTGGACAAAAATAGATTTCTTTGATCATTTATCATATCTGGTCGTCTGATCACAGTCCTCAGGGCTGAAAATGGTCTCTAAGATTAATTTATAGCATCAAATATGCAGAAGAGTAACACGTGCTGGGGAAGAAGCTAGGGCTTAGGAGGTCTGGGTCCAGCCGCCAGCTCGGCTCGGTGGGAAGCACAGCCTGGGCAACGAGCTGAGGGGTGCTCAGCCCAGGCAGCACAGAAAAAGCCTACTGGTATTAGCAAGGAAACGAAACTGTGTTTCCTGAAAGCTTGACATTTTTTGATAGAAAAAAACCCTCGTCCCACAGTGCAATTTTCCCACTCTTTGTTCAGCAAGGTTTTCTTATTAGTTTGATGAAAAATGCAGTGTTTTCTTGTGAAAATTCTGGGTGGCTTTTAAGGAAAGGCCAGTTTGGGTTAGAAGTGTGACTGGCCTGAGCAGCAGTAATACCCAGACATGGTCAAGGCCAACATCCCGGGTGCCCTGGCCCCGCGTGCCCCCGCGGGGCTGGAGAAGTCTCACCTTCTGCTTCTTGCGCAGTATCACCTTCACCCCGTCCACGGACACAATGATGCTCACTTTCTTCTTCTTAATGTTCTTGGCTTTGAATTCATACTGATGGGAAGCAAAACCCAGGTTAGAAGAGAGGTAGGATTGGGGGGTACCTGGGACAGTGTGCGGTATTAGTCAGTGTTTTACATGAAAACATCAGTTTTGTGGTTAATCCCAGCTGCTGAGGGAAGTGGGAATTTGTTTTATCCTGCTAAGAAAATCCATATTGGGAAGGATCCACTGCCACAGCTGGGATGCTGGGTGGGATCCTGGCTTTGTCAGGAGCATCCCTTGGGAGAGGACAAGCCGAGCTCGATCCTCTGGACCACATCCAGAGACCGTTAATTCGGATCCGGGAATAACCTTCCTGATGCATTGGCCATGGCCAGTCCAGGGGGCTCCGCACCGAGGCTGAACGGGGAGACGGCACTTGCAGCAAACGCCAAGCAGTGATTTATGGCATCTCCAGAGCCCTTGCATGTCAGCGCTGCAGTGCATGGGGAATATAAAATCACTTATGAATTGCAGGGAGGGCCAGATGGGTGGCAATAACGCAATTATACCTCAGTCATTTACATAATCACATTAACCTCAGTGGGCTCGGTATCTCTGGAGAAAAACCCAGCTCCTCACCTGCAGGTGTCTGCAGTCTGAACTCACCTCTATTCGTGTTAAAAATTAAACTGCTAGCTTTTAAATGTTGCTTTTGCTGACAGCTAAGAAGCGTGGCAGAGCCCTTCAACTCTGGAGGCCTGTATTTACAGCACTGATCCTTACTGGCCCTGTTTTAGGCACTATTTTCAGCTTCCAAATACAGCATTTTGATACCCATATTTTTCACAGTCCCTATCTGAAATCCAGCTTTCCTGGGCCAGATCCTCAGTTTATCTAAACCAGCACAGCCATTACTGTCAGTGCAGCTACAGTAACAGCCATCATGTATCTAGTAAAAACCAAATCCTTTGGATTAACTCGATGTACAGTTACCATAGCTGGAAAGCAGAGGTTACAAATCCCCTGTTTTAATGTCAACGGTGCGGTAACGGAGCTGGGACTCGGCAAAGGGGACACGACGGGGACACCGCTGCCTGCTGGCTCTGCCCGTGCAGGCAGCCACCGTGAGGCTACCGACATGGGTGCTACGTGGGCTGCTGAATCGCGCAGGACCCTGCGAGGGCCGCAGAGATACCGCCACGCCACGGCAGCTGCCCTGGAGCAAGTGTGGCCGAGTGGAGCGACAGCCTCTGGGCTCTCTCCACGTGCTGTTAGTTATGGTCCACCAGAAAACAGGCTGTAGACAGGCTCTGGCCATATATTCCAGCGCCAGTCTGTCAAATTGGAGGCAGCTTGCAAGCTTTCCCTGCTAAGGTGCCAGGGTGACTCAGACCCTGCAGCCCCCTCTGCAGCGTCCCGTCCCCCCGAGGACAGCCAGCCACCTTGCTGGCGAGCACCGTGCCACCGAGCCTTCCCAGGGAAGGCTGCGCTGCCCCAACGGGCTCATGGGGACAGGAGGTGCCTCCGCTCCATCGCCAGCCTCCACCGCCTCCTGGGATGTCTCTGCCGCATCTCTTTGGGGAATCAACGCAGACTGCGTGAGTCGTAGACATGGAGGACAAGGCAATGCCACGTGGTGGAGTGCAGCCTGAAGCCTACCTACACTGTGTAATTAGACATCTAATTGGAAATCTTATCTCTTTATACAGTCAGCGGAGCTGCAGGTAGCAACTGAGACGTTAAGGGACTCCAGGCACCTCTTCCAGGAGCCTGAAGTTGAAGGACTCTGTGCGTGGCTCCATGTCAGCACGGCACCCAAGCACTGCAGAGAAGAGGTGCATCGTTCCAGCTCCTCAGCACCCATTGTAAGCCACGCCAGCCTTACAGGCAGAAAATTGGGCGGCTTTCATGTTTATCAGGCTTTTGATGCTGCTTATTGAATTCTTAGCACTCTGCAAGGTTTATGGTATCAGACAGACCCCGGATTAAACCATAGCCTTTTGATCTCCCCATGAATTATTACTCTGAGACAAGCTCTTTAAAAAATCTATCTATAGCACCATTGTGTGTGAAGCCAAAGCTAAATTTGCTATAGACTTTTTTTATTTATAGGGAGGAACGAAATGATGGGCGAGGTGGCGAGTGCATCCTTCAGACCGCCGCGGGCCGGGGGGACCCGCAGGAGACGCACGCATCTGCGGGGCCGAGGCCGGGCGGCCGGGCTCGCTGCCATCAGCACCCGAGAGGGCTTCTCCCACCCTGCACCCAAGCCGCCCCTCGGTGCCCCAGCACCACCGGCCCAGCCTCGCTGGGTGCTCCCCGCTCTGCCAGGCTGGAGCGTCCTCCTCCCCTACGCTCAGCACCGCCAAACTGTTTCTCCTTGTCTGCTTGCATGAATGTCAATAAACCCGGGATAGATTGTTCTGCCCGCTAAAGAGCTATTTATCTTTCTTTATCCACAAATGGCTGGGAAAATACTAGCCGAGCTTTCCAAGAAAGGGAGAGCAATACAGCGTATTTTCCCCTTGTAGCAACAGGGGTGCAATTACATTCAAACAAGGCTCTTTACTCAAAGGCTTTAAGCAAAGTCCAAGTCTGGATTTTGCAGAGATGCTTTTTCTTTCTCTCTTGGACAGAAAGGAACAATTGGGAGCAGCAGCAGCGCATCTCCGGGTGCTGCCAGGAGTCGTGGCAAGTCTCCGTAAACCCAGGAACTTCAGCCACCTACCGCACCACACCGCACCACAATGCACCGCACCGCACCACACCACACCACACCACACCGCACCGCACCGCACCACACCACACCACACCACACCGCACCACACCGCACCGCACCACACCACAATGCACCGCACCACACCACGCCACACCACACCACACTGCACTGTACCACACACCACACCGCATGCACCACACCACAATGCACCGCACTGCACCACACCACACCGCACAACACCGCACCACAATGCACCACACCGCACCACACCGCACTGCACCACACCACACCACACCACACCGCACCACACCGCACCACACCGCACCACACCACACCACACCGCACCGCACCACCCACCCCAGCCTGACCCCAGGACAGGCACAGGGCTTGAGCTCCAAGCAGAGCTGTACAGCCAGCGTGAGCTGCCCGGCACGCTCTCTCCTTGCCCCTGCCGCGGGCCGGTGCCGAGCCGCTGAGCCGTGCTGCCGGAGCCGGGGCTGCAGAGGCACACGGGGCGGGCGGGAGCAGAGCTCAGAGCTTCGCCCCTGCCCCAGCAACACACACACCCTGCGCACGGCATCTGAAGCAGTTTTGACCCTTGCAATCCGCAGGCAGCACCCTCGGGCTCTGCTCAGGATGCAGCCCTTTGCCACAGCATCATCAGCCAGGAAGGAGGCTGATGAGTTTGCCGGTCCTGCTCGCTCCGTGCAGCTCGTGGCCGATGCTGCTCACGCTTTGCTGCTGCATCCTCACCAAGGCATCTGCCAACAGCCACCGCACGCTCCCCACAGCAGAGGTGCCGTGGTCCCAGCCATGGGCAGGATTAGCTTGGCCTGAAAACAGTTAAAACTCATTGGGTCCCAAAATCCTTTCTAAAGGGTGAAAACTCTCAAGCAGCAGGAGGCTAGGACGGCCTGGCCCCACCCGGCTGCTCAGCACGCAGAGCTGTAACGCCAGCTGGGCGAGAGCAGCGGGATCCCGAGAGCAGGGCTGGGCAAAAGCCCTGCGAGCCCACGCCGCGCCAGCTTGGATTGGGCTCTCTCTCCATCCCTACACAGAAGAGGCAGATGGGCTACAGCTTCAGTCACTTAATTGCTTCCTATCAAGCAGGAATCAGTATTTTAATTAACTGTGATTTATATAAGGACAAAAAAGCACATGAAAAAATACACTCCGAGAGAGCAGACTATCATCTCCTATCAAAATGTTCATGCATAAACCAACAGAGCTCTGAGCACGAGGCTCCCTGGCTAACCCGGCACTATCGTCAGCGAGCGAAGTCTAGTCACTGGTATTTTTTTCTTACTATTGAATCGATGTTGCTTTTTTTTTTTTTGCAAATTTGTCAAGGTTACCAACAAATCCAAACCCACACAGCAGCATTCATCTTCTCTGCTGCCTTCCGAGATTCAAGCGTTATTCTCTTGCTGCTTGTGCTATCCGATGGGGGAAAGCTTTCTGGATGTTAAAGGATCTGGAGTTGCCCTTACAAGTGGCGATTCAGCAGGCAACCCTGGCAGCTTTCTTAGCTACGGAGACAAGATGGGACATTTCATAAAAAAATGCAGGTCAAAAAAGGGCAATGCATCTCATTTAATTTAGCAGCTTCATTAATTCTATTTCTGATGTGTCTGACCTGGAATACTTTCTATTTCTGCTTTTAAATCCCCGTGTTTGAGTCCTTGCCTTTCATACGGTCCCACACACTGTTGGCATGTAATATTAACTTACCCAAGAGCTAAAGACTGTATGACTAGAAATGTTAATGGCGCCGTGTAATGCATATTTCATCTGATAATTCCACCCAAGCAGATATAAATTACACATGCAGTTACCAGCTTCCATCTGCTGATGAAAGAGATGGGCTAATGCACATTGGAAATCATACACAGTTTCCAGCACTAAGAACAACTTGCATGAATAGCGTTATTCAAGGAAGCAATTCTTAATGTGATTAATTACTGAAGGTAGCAGGGCCTTCATTATGCAAATGAAAACTGTCATAAAATAGAGAGTTTGCAAGTCTTAGAGGCAGTCTCTGTTTCCAAAAAATGCATCTTCCTCATTAACAAGGAGCAGAAGGGCCTGAGTCGAGAGAGCCGGCAGAGGCAGGACAGGCTCCCTGCCGTGGCTCGCTCGCTGCTGTGCAGCCCAAGTCGTATTCAGGGAAATCAAGGCAGAGGCTCTCCAGGTTTTCGAAACAGGAGTACATCAGTGCTCCCAGTCGCTGCCGGGCAAGTACTTCGTTTGTGTGCCCAAAGGAAGATGCCACAGGCTTGGAAATGGAGGACTCTTCCTGCCACTGTAAATTCTCCAGCCAGCCCTTAGCCTGCTCTCCTGCCCCCAGCCT